ACTCACTATTTTTGCCGTACTCAATTCATACAAAATTTCATGCAAATATCCAAGGAATAAAAACTTTCATACAAACTTTTATCCCCTATATCAACCCTTTGGGGGTTTAATTTAAAAAAAATCTTCCTTAGTGGATGCCTTCGTCATATGAGGAATACGTGTGCGAAATTTCAGTTTCCAGACTTAAGGGTTCGGGCCTGTGCGTTGATACACTTGATCACTTTTGCCTTTTATATATATAGATAAATATTTTATTCAAATAATGTTGCCAAGTACGTGCGTATTTATGAGCTTTCTACTCAGTTAAAAACCATTTAGATAAAATGACGCCACTCTATTTGAGAGCTTGTAGAATATGAAGGTTGGATCTTTAAATCTGCTCAACTGTTCTGTTAATCCAAAGATAAAACTTAATTATATGTATATTTATCTTCTAAATTATAAAAAAATCTAGTGAAATGAATTAAATATATGAATACAAATGTAAATAACTTTAAATGTAATACATCTAGTGGTGTTTTTTTTTTTCTTAAAATTAATATGGGATCGCCATTTGTGGTATATTTTTAATCAACATAAAAAATTGAAAATTCAGAATTCTACTTGTTTTTCTTGTTTTATTTAAAAAAAAATTAAAGTGTCCTTTTTATTTTTCTCCAAATTATAATATTATTAATTAGTTTTGATAGTAAGCACAATGACTTTTAAAACGTCAAAAATATTCAATATGCAACTTTAATTTCGCTTTAATTTAACATTATTTAACGTATTCAGCCTAGATATCAGTCAGTATGTAGGTATATCTATTTTCAGGGCCAGCCTCTTATCTATCTATACTGATAAATAAAATTAAAGTGTCTGTTTGTAATGTCAAAGTAACAGCTTCTTACTAAATGTTTATGAAAGTATATACGGCACTAGTAAGATTTTTTTTTATTATTGTCTGTCTGTTTGTTCTGACTAATCTCCGAAGCAGCTGAACCGATTTTTAAGGTATTTTTACTAGCAAATAGATGATGTTATAAGGAGTAGCTTAGGCAACTTTTATTTTAGAAACAGCATCAGGATTCCACGCAAAAAATTAAAACCCATGAAATTGTGAACAATCTGCGTCCCTAGGGACGAACCCGAGCGAAACGAGGGTGAGTTGCTAGTTTATAATATTTCTGTTTCTACAATTTCATCCGAGTGCTTTATCAAGAGTTACGCTATCGTAGCTCTTGTTAGTAGTTGTCAAAGGTTATGATTCAGTAGAGGACTTGAATTGCTTCTATAACTTTTGATTAAAATAACAAGTTTGTGTTTCTTTGAGATTGTATTCGAATGGATCTCTCAATTTATTGAAATATTACTTACACAAGCGTATTATTTTTTTATGTATTTGAGGTTTATATTTGAAGGCTTTTTATTTTTACTAGGTTGTATTTACTAACTTATGCTTTCCGGTTGAACAGTTACTTTTTTTAAACAAATATCTATAGTTCCAATGATAATCTTTGTAATATTTATATTACTGTAATTTTATTGCTAACGAAAATTTAAAACTTACATTTGCTTCGATCGAGTGCATCCTTAGATATTTAAAAACCTATATGTTACTTCAGGTATAGTTTATCTGAATACTAAATTTCATCCAAATCTGTCCAGTCATTTTAGCGTGAAAGAGTACACATTTTCCAAACTACTTGGGGTCAACGCAGTACGTCCATACTGCTTATTGGTTTAGGTAAAATTTTCCGACCAGCCACCTGATTGACGTCAACCCTCTTTGGGATCGCTGTTGTTCGCCCGCCATCACACAAGGTGCGATACATTTAGATCCTTTAGTCGTCTTTTACGACACCTACAGAAGGTGATGGGGTAGATGGGGTAGCAATAAACATACACACATGTTCATAAAATCGTTCGGATTTAGTATAATAGTTTATAAGTTATATTATGTATGTTTTTTAAGTTATATAATTGTGTAGTGTATCAACTATCTGGTATCCATAACACAAGCCTCCTAGCTTACCATGGAACTAGATGGCGCTGTCCGTTAATGTTCCAAAATATTTATTTATTTATTTATTACGTTAATATATACTTTATTTAATAATACGAGTATCTTCCTCACCGACTTAAGCTGTGACGAATCTCATTGAAACTAGCCATATCTATTCCTTTAATTTACAAAGTCCTGATGAGCGATAATTCGACACGGTCAACGAGGGTTCGGAGGACCGGGGTTAAAATGTCCCTAACTTCCCAATGCCGTATATTTTCTGAAAATATCTTGAGAGATATATAAACAACTGCATTTAACCCGACGGTATACGAACCCAGCGCTTTAATCATTACAATGTTTATAAAAAAAAATGAAAAATTTCCAATTTTTTTATTGATAGAGCTAATGCTCGTTAATAGCTACTACTTAAATAAATAAAAAATCAGTTAACCGACAGAGGAGAAAAGGGTACTGAACTATTTTGTCTTTGTCTATTTACCTATATATATAGATTTTATTAATAATATCGTTTCCATTATATGATCTTTAGAAAAAACTACATATGTTTCTGCGCAATAATCGAACTCATGATATTAGCCAATCATTACAATGTATTCCTATTTATATTTTAGCTTATTTCTATTTTATTGGTGAAAGATTTCATTTTCAATACGTGCACGTCACTAGGATGTTCATTCAATCAATTGTATGTCAAAATTTGTTATGTGGCCGCAGGAAAATTGTGAGTGATTCTATAAAACTAAATTGCTCTTGAGTGAGTTTTTTAATTTAATTTTTAACATTTTCTATGAAATATGCTTATTGTTCATTTTATTTTTAATAAATAAATATGCATATTAAATAGTTTAAAATTATGAAGCTTATTTTATAACTCAAGTAGATATACCTGAAGCAAGACAACTCTTTAGGTGAAGCAGACCACAAAAACCAAGGGGTTTCTCCCACGGTCCACTCTGCTATCAGAGTAGTACCAGGAGTAACCCACATGGTACACCGTCCACAGAAGTAGGCCATCTCCCGATGAGTCTCTTGGCGAACGAGTAATTACTTTTCCGGCTACGAATAAATTTCATATAATTAGAACAATAATTCTATATTAAATTATTATACATATTACTGGAATTGCCTCGGTGGTCTAGTTATATATAAGCTATATAGGCTTGGCTGAGGATTCGGAGGTCTTGGGTTCGAGTCCCGAATCGGACCAAGTTATTGGATTAAAACAATCTCAGTAAGGCTCCGAATTTGCGATGGCCACTACTATAAATGATTTGCACTTTAATATCAGTTTGACTCACCCTCACTTCGCTCGGGTTCGTCCCTAGTGCAAGAAAAAACAAATCTATTCCACGAAAACTGTACATTTTTCCGAGATAAAAAGTAACCTATGTACTATTCTAGACTATAATCTATTACTGTGCCAAATTTCATCTAGATTCGTTCAGCCGTTCTGGCGTGATTGAGTAACAAACAACCATCCATCTAAACTTTCGCATTAATGTAGTATAAGATTAAAGGTTTTATAGATCTAAAATATCTTCAAACAATAATGTGAAGGTACATCCATAGTCATCTATACTAATATTATAAAGAGGTAAAGTTTGTGAGTTTTTGAGATTGTGATATTGTAGGGGCTAATCTCTGGATCTACTGAACCGATTTAGGTGAAATTTGTTAAGAAGATAGTTTGAGACCCTGGGAAGGGCATGGGATACTTTTTATCCCGAAAATCATCCTTTAAGGGGGTGAAAATGGAGATGAAAGTTTGTATGGGGAATCAACCTAGGGAGTCAGAGGCCGAGCGAAGCGAGGGTGAGTCGCTAGTTTATTTTAAATCTGTTTAACTATAAAATTAAGTTTTTATTTCCTTTAAAACATATAACTTCATTAACGCCGTATTTTCTTTAGAATTACCGTTAGGAAAACTCAAGTTAGCACTCGTATAGCGTACGTTTTATGTTAGTATAAAACATTTCGTTTTATTTTTACGGGATTCAGAATAAAATTTTTAGCGTGGGTTTTCCACGCCATTAGATGCTCCTTTCATGGTATTTTATTTAAGTGCACACTACAGTATTTCAGCCGATACATTTTCTTAGAAAAACTAAGTATCGCATGGTTTTTAAGCTTTTTTATAATGAGATTACTGATATTAAGTTTTTGCTTGAATTTGTTATTTGTGGTGTTAGAATCATATCATAATTTACACAAGATTATTGTTTAGTCATTCCATATGTATGATGTTTTAAAATATTCGTCAATTATAAATTCATTATTGTTTAAATTTATTATTATTTTAATTTAATGAGATTACACATAGAAACTTAGAATAATTTAATTAATATTTTCAAATATTGTACTAACGCGCGCACTACTTCCGGCTGACAACTTCCTTTATTTGTTTGTTCCGGTAAAAAGGGTTGGAGGGAGGTAACGCGCGCGCAGTGGACAGTTGATTGTCGACTGTTGAGTTGAATAGACTAGATTTGTGAAATTTCATCAACATGTAAGTATAATAAATTGATTTAATTGTGGAAAAGTGTTTTAATTACTTGAGCTCTCAAAGCTCAGAAGTGGGATATAATCGTGATAGCGATTAATATCGTCCACGGTGAAAGGACTTGCCGCCCATACAACTGTACCGATAATTTCTTTTGTTTTTTTTTAGTGCAATCAGTTTAGAAGGAACTTAATTATTTTAAATATTGTATTGTAACAACTACTGGTGGTCCCAATATTAAAAAAAAATATATTCTGACTAAGTTACATAAGTTTTATATATGAGTGTGTGTGTGTGTGTGTTTTTTTTTGTTTTCTGTTTTCCTTAACGTCATTAGTGCCATATCCCTAGTTTATTTTGTCTGTTGCATTATGAACCTATATTATACATCATGAACTAAGATAATGCTCTAAAGGAATCAACCTTACCTAACCCTTTATAATAAGTCTAAGAATAGCTGCTTTTGTGATTTCTTATAATTTTCAGTAAACAATGGGCCGGAAAAGAAAGTCCACTCGACGTATGAGGGAGTCTGATGATTCAGAGCATAGTGAATCAGGTTCACTAGTGCGAAGAAGGCATAAGTCGCGACGACGCTATAACAAGTCGCAAACTCGTGATTCATCGAGTGGCTCTGATGTACCGCGACACTGTAGAGTATCAAAGAAGCGCCGTAAATCCAGGAGGTATTCTGAAACGCCTCAAAGGCGTACTGTACCGCGGGGTCATAATGGTACCCCGGATCCTGGCACAACTCAAAGGCGTAATGTATCACGGGGCCGTGATGTTACTCGAGATCCTGGCACGCCTCCAAGGCGTGATGTATTGCGAAACCATGAAGAGTATCAAAATCCTGAGGAGCTGCAAAGTACACACCTTCTTCAAAATGAATATGCAGCGGGGACGTCACAGCCTGCTACTATACCAGCAGTAACACCAACCGTGAGTGCACCTCAAATTAATGTTAGTACTGACTTTAATGCTAACGTTTTAGCCTTGGCCTTCAAGGAGCTTATTCAGACCATGAAAACAGATGGGGGTAATGAACGTTATCCGGTTATGAATGTTATTCCAGAGTTTGACCCTTCCAAGCGCAATCAAACTATTGAAACTTGGTTATTAAAGGTTAATGAGTGTGCCGAAATTTACAATTGGACTGAGAGACAAATAATTCATTACGCTCTCCCAAAATTATCAGGTTTGGCACAAAAATGGTACCAAGGTCTACCTAGTTTACTGTTTTCATGGACGGAATGGCAGAATAAGTTGAAAATGGCGTTTCCAAGTGATGAAAAATTATGGACAATTGCTAACAGATATGCTTGCCTGCAGGGCTAGATTTGGCGACTCGTTAGAAGAATATTTTTATCAAAAGATGGTATTGTTAAATCGTTGTAATATAGTTGGTAAAAATGCTATAGATTGCATTCTGTTTGGAATAGATGATAGATCAGTAAGAAACTAGTGCAGAAGCAACACAATTCACAGAACCTGATAAACTATTAGTCTATTTAAGGAATGTACGATTAACTAGGAAGCCTGAGAAGCCAAGTCCATCCATGCAAGCAGGTAATAATGAGAATAAACAATCCCGATCGTTCAAGTCTAATCAGAATACGTCTGACGTTAAAAATAACAGATCTTATAGGCTCACTAAATGTTATAATTGTAAGGAAGAAGGACATCCATATTTTCTTTGTAAGAAACCAATCATACGCTGCGAGAGTTGCCATAGAATTGGTCATGTATCTAATAATTGTCCGGGAAAAACTGACTCCAAAGCCAACGAAAGCAATAGTAAAACAGTTTTACGTATTTCGAAACAACAAGATAACGAATCGAAATATTTCAAAGTTGCCAAAGTTAATGGTCAAAATCTTGATTGCTACGTTGATTTTGGAAGCCAATGTACCATGTTAAGAGAATCTTTTGCAAGAAATTTTGTCAGTACTTGGTCAGTATCAGAATTACCAGTTATAAGAGGATTTGGAGATAGTATAGTGAATTGTTTAGGCAAATTTGTTGTTGAACTAGAGATAGATTCGGTCAAAGCTTCCGTAGAGGTACTTATCGTACCAGACCATCTATTACAAGTACCTTTGTTAGTTGGGCAAACATTTACGGAGCAGGAACACATAGTTGTTTATAAAAACAAAAATCAATTGAAAATATCCACTTACCCAACAACCAGTGTTCAATTGTATGTTAAAAATTCAGTAACGGTAAAAGGATTTACTGTCTTAGATGTTTATTCTAAACCAGATTACACAGGTGACTTATTTATTGAACCGAGTCTTTGCCAAGACCCCCAAAACCCGTACGAAATCTCACAGAGCATAATTCGCGTAACTAATAGTCATGGTAATATTGTTATAAAGGGACTTGACCCTGAGTTTGTTTTAACGAAAGATATGTTGTTGCTTCGAGCATTGCCTTTAACTGAATTGAAATTTGAGTCGCTAAATGTTAGTAAAATTGAACACTGCCCTGATAATAATAATATATTCAGAATCGAAGCAGAGACTATACAAGTGGATAATTCAATTGGTCCTGATAACGTATTTAAATTGACTGAGTTATTGAACAATTTTAGGGATTGTTTTGCTTTCTCAAGTAAAGAATTAGGATGCATAACTGGTACCGAGATGAATATTAAACTTAATGACACCACACCTATGGTTTATAGACCGTATCGATTGTCTCATTTAGAGCGTCACGTAGTTCGCGATATTATACAAGATTTAGAAAATTCGAATATAATTAGAGAATCATCTTCTGATTATGCTTCACCAATAGTTCTCGTACGTAAAAAGACTGGCGACTATCGCCTTTGTATTGACTTTAGAGCACTTAATAAAAAGACGATCAAAGAACACTACCCCCTACCACTTATAGAAGACCAATTAGATAGTCTCTCAGGTTATAGATATTATACTTCTTTGGATCTTGCTTCTGGATATTACCAGATCCCATTGGCTGAAACATCGAAACGTTATACAGCATTCGTAACGCCTGATGGGCATTATGAGTTCAACCGCATGCCGTTTTGGACTCGTAAATGCTCCGTCCACATTTCAAAGGACTATTAATAGTATTTTGGGGAATGCAAGATTCAAAGAAGCATTTGCATACATGGATGATGTCATTGTACCTTCTAAAACTATAGACGAGGGATTACAGAAACTTCATGATATTTTAAATTTGTTTCGCTCTTCCGGTATAACACTCAATCTGTCAAAATGTAATTTCTTGAAACAATCTATAGATTACTTAGGCTTTGAAGTCACTGAATCAGGTATTAAACCGGGAAAGAAAAAAATTGAAGCAGTGGATAAATTTCCTAGACCTACAGATCAACACAAAGTCAGACAGTTTTTGGGTCTAGCTAGTTTTTTCCGAAGATTTATTAAAGGGTTCTCAATTATTGCAAAACCATTGACGCAACTTCTTAAGAAAGATGCTAAATGGAAATGGGGTGACGTAGAAGAATTAGCATTTTTAACATTGAAAGACGAATTAGTCAAACGCCCTATTCTTTCTTTTTATAATCCTGAGTACGAAACCCAATTACATACAGACGCTTCTAAGATTGGAGTTGCCGGAATAATAATGCAAAGACCTAATAAAGAATCCCCATTCAGCGCTGTAGCATTTTATAGTAGACAAACTTCCCCCGAAGAATCCAAACTTACCTCCTATGATTTGGAAACGTTGGCTGTCGTGAACTCGCTACAGCGGTTCAGAGTATATCTTTTGGGAATTCCTTTTACCATAGTTACAGACTGCAACTCTCTTCGTGCAACTTTTGAGAAAAGAGACACAATACCTAGAGTTGCGCGATGGTGGAATGTTATCCAGGAATTTGATTTTTAATATTATTTATAAGCCTGGCACAGCTATGACACACGTAGATGCCCTTAGTCGTAATCCCATCTCTTCACATTCAGTAGAATTACATGTAGGACATGTTGATACTGATTGGGTAGCTACGGTACAACAAAACGATCCCGAATTACAACGAATAATTTCAATCTTAAAGAATACTGAAAACGATAATGTTATAGAGATCAAAAATAATTTTATAATAAAAAGAGGATTATTATATAGGAAAACTGAAGACGGGGATCGTTGGGTTGTCCCGAAAGGAGTCCGATGGCAGGTATTGAAATCAAACCATGACGAGATCGGACACTTTGGTTTTGATAAGACTTTAGAGATAATTAAAAATAAGTACTGGTTTCCTAAAATGAGAAGATTTATAAAAAAGTATGTACAATCGTGTCTAGAGTGTGCTCATGCTAAAGTACCATCTGGGAAAAGAGCAGGAAAATTGCATCCTATCGAAAAAGTAGATAAACCTTTTCACACTCTACACATAGATCATCTAGGTCCTTTTGTCCGTAGCAAGCGCAGAAATGCTTATTTATTGTTAATTATAGATGCATTTACGAAATTTGTCATACTTGTGCCAGTTAAAAGTACTAAATCTATTCATTCCATCGCCGCAATGAAAAACTATTTTCACACCTTCAGTGTACCGAAAAGATTAATCTCTGATCGCGGAACGTCATTTACGTCTAAGAACTTCCAAGATTATCTAAATTCATTAGGTATAAAGCATATCATGAACGCTGTAGCGACGCCGCGGGCCAACGGCCAAGTCGAGCGGTATAATCGAACAGTTTTAGCAGCACTTACAGCTACAAATCATAGCAAGCCCGATAACTTGTGGGACGAATGTGTATCTGAAATTCAATGGGGACTGAATAATACTCAGAATAAGGGTACGGGAAAGAGCCCCGCACAGGCATTATTTGGTCTGGACTTGGTAGGTACGTCAGGCTCTTTATTGCAACTTAGTGTTACAGATAGTGCTGATAATGTTGATACTCCTATAGAAGACATAAGGAGAGAGATGACAGAGCAAATAAGAGACAATCAAGATAAACAAAAGCAACGGTTTGACAAAATTAGGAAGGAAGTTACATATAATATAGGTGACCTAGTCAGAATAGAAAGAGAAATTTCATCAACCGGTAACAGTAGAAAATTAATCCCAAAACTTAGAGGTCCGTATCGTATAAAAGAAGTTTTAGATAATGATCGTTATGTTGTTGAAGATACGCCATTATCCAGGAAGGGTAACAGAAATTTTAGTAGCATTTTCTCTGTAGACAAAATTCACCCTTGGATGGTTTTTAATAGAGCAGACACAGAGTCTGAAACTTCTAATAATGATGATGCTGACGAGTTAGAAGTAAGATAAGATGTTAAGGATATGTCTGAGGCCTTAATATTTTAATTAACGTTGTCGAGTATTATAAGTGGCCTGACTGGAATATGTCTGAGGTCTCAGTTAGGACAGATATTATGGACATGTATGGGGCCTTAATATCTTAGCGTTAGAGTTAACTAACAAGTGGCTTGACTGAGAATAAGTCTGAGGTCTCAGTTAGGACAGATATTGAGGATATGTACGAGGCCTTAATATCTTATCATTGAAATGATTATTCTAGTGAACATCTATCAGTTAAGATTTGTTCGTCATCAATATGATTGGTTATGAATATGATTTTTGTTATATTTTATAAATGTTATAATCTATCACAAATACCGAACCAAATTGTTTTTCCCGGGACGGGAAATTTATCAGGAAAGGCCGACTGTTAGAATCATATCATAATTTACACAAGATTATTGTTTAGTCATTCCATATGTATGATGTTTTAAAATATTCGTCAATTATAAATTCATTATTGTTTAAATTTATTATTATTTTAATTTAATGAGATTACACATAGAAACTTAGAATAATTTAATTAATATTTTCAAATATTGTACTAACGCGCGCACTACTTCCGGCTGACAACTTCCTTTATTTGTTTGTTCCGGTAAAAAGGGTTGGAGGGAGGTAGCGCGCGCGCAGTGGACAGTTGATTGTCGACTGTTGAGTTGAATAGACTAGATTTGTGAAATTTCATCAACATGTAAGTATAATAAATTGATTTAATTGTGGAAAAGTGTTTTAATTACTTGAGCTCTCAAAGTGGATTTATTCACATTGTAAATCGTTTGCAAATAATGTTATTACTGAAAATTATTATTGATAAATTTTATTAATTTTGTTTCAGCTCAAATTAAATAAATAATATTCTATATTCAATTATAAAGCTAATTAAAATTATATAAAAATGTTTAAAGTTAAAAGTTAAAATATTGTAAGGTACTTTAGTGCCATTTTTCAATTTTTTGAATTCATTTTGTTAATTGTGGGTAGGCTGTCTGTAACAACTATATAATACCTTAGAGACATCTAACACCTCAGTCTCTCCCGTGACCATGATTGCTGTAAAGCATTCGAAACGTCGGGAACCAAAAATCAAAATAAATTCGCGAAAAAATCCGAAAAGATAGTTTTATTTAAAATGTCAAATATTCGCGTAAATCTAAGAAAGTATTAATATTGTTTAATGTTAATTCTCAATAATGTACTTTTTTATATATTTAATATTATTCTAAATATAAACGTTTGTTGGTTTGTCATTCTCCTTCATACGATGATTTTTACGGTTCCACACAAAGATTCGCGAGACGAAAAAGATGAAACCTTTATAAGATTACCCCGATATCTACACGTCTGTTGGAATGTTTTTATGATCCGGCAACCTATTTCCCCTAAATTTATTCAACGAATAGATTGAAAGAACATAAGGTTACTTAAAAATAGTACAGTACAAAAATGTGTTTTAGAGCTAATAACACTAAAAAATTCTAATCGTTATCGTTTTAATCTTATTTTTAATTATTATTAATGCATCTAATTATAATTACACGTTTTATTATATACCAAAAGAAGGGTGCAATAAAATTGAAAATACAAAGAAAAGATGTACAGCAAGCGGCCTTATCTCAAGGAGACGTTTCTTCCAAGAAACCTTAATTAGAAAATTGAGATACAAGAAATAAGACGCATAAAAATTATGAATACTATACTAATGTACAAGGAATTACTCTATTCGATTATTTCGTTCAGATGATAAAACAGTAATTCAGTACCACTGAACTAATCTGATGATGGGTATCGTCCTCTCTCTCTCTCCCCCTTTCTCTCTCTCTCCCCCTTTCTCTCTCTCTACCCCTTTCTCTCTCTCTCCCCCTTTCTCTCTCTCTCCCCCTTTCTCTCTCTCTCTCTCTCAAGTCGACTCTTAAATATGTACATCGTAAACTCTTCGAATTTGGGAAACTCTGAAAAATATTTGTTGTAAATTTATTCACTATTTTATACAGTTTTTCAGTTCAACCAAAAGCTTTAATTAAAATATAATCTATCTATAAATATTTTTCCGTAATAAAAAGTATAGGAATATGTTGACCCGGATAACCAGCTATCATCATACAAAATTTCATCAAAATCCCTCCAATTGTTTTTCCGTAATGCGGTCATGTCTCCAGTCATATCCAGTATACGGATTCGACCCCTGTATCGATAATAATGTCTATTTCAATAAGATTTTCCAAAAAATATTTAATGTACAGATTCGGCTTTATTACAATTTTATTATATGTATAGATGTCAAATATTCGCGTAAATCTAATAAAGTATTAAATCACACAAAAAGCTTAGGCTTCCGACAAACTTTTTATTTAAACATATATATCTAAAATATTTTTATACACAATATAACTAGCATCAAGCACGTAAGTTTATCGACGGCATCCATGTCGAAGCAAATTAAGTTCTTGTTAACATATAGCAACACTACCAATTTACATTTATAATCACTTATACTTCGATCGAACCAATTTTCATATTAATATAATTGATGTCTCTACAAAAAAGACATCAGAGTAAATAAATGAATTATTCATACTCTGTTTAATACCGGTATATCGATTGCGATAAAAATAAAGTAGGTACTAGTCGTACGTATAAGTTTTTAATTTTGTATTCCTTCATTTATTCATATTATATATATACTAGCGACTCACCCTCGCTCCGCTCGGGTTCGTCCCTGGGGTGGGGTCTGGGAGGACCACCCTTATCCTTATCACTTAGGGGTATGGAAAATAGATAGTAGCCGATTCTCAAACCTACTGAATACGCATATAAAATTTGGTAAAAATCGGTAAAGCCGTTTCGGAGGAGTACGGTAACAAACATTGTGACATGGAAATTTTATATATATATATATATATATATATACATATATATATATATATATATATACATATATATATATAGATATATATATACATATATATATATATATATATATATATACATATATATAATGCCAATTTCAAAACACGGATTAAGAAAATGCTTTTTTTGTTTATTCATCCATTTACATAATTACTAGCAGAACCCGCGGCTTTGTTCGCGTTAAAACTACAAAAAAATCTCTAAAAAGGTAGGTTTGAACAAAATTTCATGCCCTATTTTACTCCCTTATGGGATGAATTTCGAAAATTGCTTAAGCACATATTTATTTAATTTTATTGAAAAGATTTATCACTAAGTTTCAAATAATTCCGATCATAAATACTTTTTTGGATTGTATTATAACGTGTTTTCCTATGGGAATTAGATATATAATCTCCCGCGGTAAAAAGCAGCCTATGTCACTCTCCAGTCCTCCAACTATCTCGACACAAAAAATCACGCCAGTCCGTCACTCCGTTTCGACGTGAAAGAAGGACAAACAAACAAACAAACAAACAAACAAACAAACACACTTTCACATTTATAATATTAGTAAGTATGGATGGATATTGTATATACATCGTAGATATATACAAGAAAAAAAGAAAAAAAGAAGTATCGAACATACATGCACATACAAATTGTAATTAATATGCCTTACTTGATGTCACTTTAGTGCTAGCTCTAAAAACTGACCTATTATGATTCGCACTAGTTAAAGAGTTTCTAACAACATCCGATAGAACTTCCTAATTAAAATTAACCGACGTATAAAATAAGAAGTACTTATAAATAGAAAAGTAAAATTCAAATTTATGTTGTTTTGTTTGTTACAGACTAATTCATGTTACATATAAATTCAAATTTTCAGGAGATTTTGTACTTTTTTAGTTAAAAAGTAATAATCGGTAAATACGCTAGTTAGCCTTATCGTTGCCTTAGTGCTTAATTGATGACAAATACTTGTTGTTATTTACAGTACACATTTTTTTTTTGCTTTTTTGAAATCATAGCTTTCTCTCTAAGGTTTATAAACGTATATAGATAAAAAAAAATATTTTTTTCAATTTAATTAAAACAAATGTATTTAATACGAATAGAATAATTAACATTTAAAAGTCAATAATTCTGTATTTATCTATTACGGTTAATCGATAATTTGGACAAATAAGCACTGAGACGATGGTATATTATATATTATCTATACATAAGAGTATAATAAAATTGTAACTAAGCCGAATCTCTACATTAAATATTTTTGGGAAAATCTTATTATCTATATAGAGGCCGAATATATAGTTTTTAGAATTTTTGTCTGTCTGCCTGTCTGCCTGTTACCGCATCACAGAAAAACCACTGGGGAGATTTTGGTGAAATATGGTATAGTGATAGCTGGTTATCCGGGTCAACATATAGGATTGTTTTTACCGCGGGAAAATATCTCATTTCTGAAAAAAAAATAAAAAAACTGCATTTTAAGAGTAAACTAATTGGTAAAACCTAAGAATTTGGTTTTTGGTCATCTGAACGCGGGTGGAGCCGCGGGCAAAGCTAGTATTTAATATAAATTTTGTGATATACATGTAAATAATTCCATCGAAATATGCATTCACAAGTTCTGGTTTTTTTTGTCGGAAACGGAAGTAACATTTCCAACTCCAAACTCAATTTCAAAGGTTCACCCTATTTGTTCACGCATCGCTTTATATGTGCTATGTGGAAGGGTTTGAGATTCCTTTCACACCTTGTTTATAATAGTACCCACAACCCTTATCGATTGATTTACACATGAGAGCTCTTTAGAGAACGCGTGAAATGTAGTGGGTTTTCTGGACTGTGTTTAGTTTTGTTATAAAACTTGTTTATTTGTTTTGTTAAAATAAATAAATAATATATTGGGATTTTACACATTTCGTCATGTTAAGCATTTCGTCAAATGCTATATTATATACTAGCACTGCCCGCGGCTCCGCCCGCGTTCAGATGACCAAAAACCTGATTCTTAGGTTTTACATATTATTCTTAGGTTTTACATATTCATAGAGTATACTACTCTTACA